TTGTTTCTTTTAAAAAATAACATATAACAGCCTCAACCGGGCGGCGAAGCCGCCCACATCTGCATCCTCTAGTTTAAATGTTAATAAAGATAATATGTTGTATCTGTGTAGCTTACGAAATCGGTCCGGGTTCGAAATAATAAACCATATATACTTGATCCGTTTTTTTCATCTCTTTAATAATTTCCTCAATTCGTGTAAGTGAGGGTCCTTTAGGTTCTTTAGCTAATCGGCTTTCTTCGGTATCAGCTTTTTAAGCATCTCCTCAATTTGTGCAAGAGAGGAAGGCTCTTTAGATTTGGATAACCCTTTTAGCTCTTTAATTGAGTCTTTCAGCTCTTTAATATCCTCCTTAATTTGTGTAAGAGGGGGTTGTTCTTCAGGTAGTAGAAGAACATCATTAAGATTCTTTGAAATGTAAGGCTTTTTATAACCTGACCATTTATTATGTTGAATAATCTCAACTAAATGCCCACGAAGCTTAATTGTGTGGCATTCATAAAAACTTTAATTTGAAGGTATATAAGTAATAGGAATAGATTTTGTTTTTGCATGTAGTTAAATAACTTACATAACAAACGGAAACCAATTTTCTTTTCTTCGTTGCTGAGGTAACATATATAATAACTCAATTTCTTCTAATACCTACACAATCAATAAAATATTAAATATTAATTAATGAATTAATAAATAAATATATATGTCGTAGGTAGGAACAGAATTTAAGTTGATTCAGAATTTTTAAGGTTAGGGTTGTGATTTTTAGTATATTTATTCAGTTCTAATCTAAGTGAATTCCGGACTCTATTATGATTCAATTCCCACTTACAACATATAAATATTTTAGTTTCAAAAGGTCTTACTTCAGCTCTTAGAATTAAATACGCTTCTTTAGTTTGAGTCTCACTTATTGCATTACTTAGCAAGCCGATAAACAAATTCATTAAGTAAATAGTTGCTCCGAAAGAAAATATTATCGTTAAAGTGAGTAAAGTTATGTTATTTTCTAAATCCCAATAAGAAATTGGCGTTGTGTCTCCTATTAAAGTGTATGCATTTTAAACTTAGCACAAGAAAGTTATTATTTATCGGCGCTAATGATGCATAGCAATTTCAAAAAATGAATAATTTAGATTTTACCTGTTAGCATAATATAAACAGCAGAAATTGCAGTTGTCATCATCATAAACATATTTGTGGTCGCAGTAGGAGGTTCAATGAGAGAAGCATTATCTTCAATTGTACCATTGGGATCTATAGCGTTATATTTTGTAGCCAAATTCCACGGATCATTCGGATCAGTGGAATAGCTTGGAGATTCTAAAGACACATCAGTAGTAGGACGCAATAAAAGGTGTAATGAGTGTGCAAATGCAACTAAAACAAATATTAATATTATCAAAAACGAAAACCCTTTTTGTGCTACTCCAAGAATCATGGAGAAATAAGTACCCAAAGATTCAGTTGCACGAAAATATAAAAGAAATTTGATTTCTAATAATAAAGTAGAAAACGTAGCCATTTCTCTTGGCATGACATTACTTTGAAGCCATTTAATTGACGATATTGTTGGCAGTAAAAATGCACCAATATCTTAGTTTATGAGCAAAAAATAATAGAATATTAGTCATAATTTGATAAAAAATTAATACTATACATTAAGTTACATTACCAAAATAATTCCATGCACAAGACAAATAAATTAATGGCGCGAACAGAAATTGCCGGAATTCACAAAATAAGTGCCATATCCCAAGGCAAATTGTTATATTTAAGAAAATAAATAAACTAGTCTGAGAAATGCTTTTGTAATATGTTGCAGCATATATGAAACTAAAAAGAAAAACAGTATAAAGTGCCCAAGCTGCCAAATAATATTTCCATCCGTAAGTATTCCATTTAAATCTAAGTAGTGCTTCTCCATTTAAATATCTATAAAATTCTTCATTTATTACTTCAAGTCTATTTGAATGTGAAAAAGGATTTGTACTAGGCCACAATAATTCTTTCCAAAAACTATAATCTTTTGGATAAGTAACAAAGTTTGGTAAAGGAATTGCAAGTATTGTTGATCTATGACCCATATAATAAAAATCATTAATTGGTTTTACAATGGAATCTCGAATAAAAGTATGCTTTTCTTGAAAACTTTTAAACCAAGTTTGAAATCTTTTTTTAAAACTAATCCAATGATTCCAAAGATTAGAAGTTATTATATGAAGAATTGATGTTTTAGATAAATGATAGTACCTTCCATAAGTGGAAAGATGTGAAGAATTAGAGTTTGAAATTAAATTCTTAGAAAGAACTACAAATCCTATTGTGGATAAAGTGCTTGCCATAAATGCAGGATGCTCTTCTGATAATTCCTTAAAGTTTTCAAAAATAATACTCAACAAAGAAATTTTAGAAATCAAATGATTATCTTCTTGCACAAGCTTATCTAAACAGCTTTGTCCTAAAGATCTAATCCACTTATCATCCTTTAATTTAATAAATGTTTCCATGAGAATTTTTCCGTAGCAAGTTAAATAAAATTCGTCAAAGACATTATCTTTCAAAAATGTCCTGAAAAGTTGTATTTCCTCTTTGCCGAATTTAACATCTAAATTTTTATAAATTGTTTCATAACTTGAAGCAGGAAGAATTCTCCGGTTCTCAAAGAAGTCTTTAAACTCTATCTTTTTAAATTTGAATTCTTCTAAACGATCATTCCAATTATTCCAATAATAATGCATCTTAATGATCTTGTCACGCAATTTAAAGTCAGATTTATAAGACCAAATAATTACACCAATACGTGTAATCGTAATGAAATCATCATTTTCAAGAATTTCGCAATGTAGTATAAAATTTTTTCCGTTACGATAAAGCGATGGGAGAATATCTAGAGGTTTTTTGGGGATCCATTTCTTCCTGAGATAATTATAATCACTTACCGTAAGTTTGACTGATTCATCATCTATTTCTAATCTCCATTTTAAAAATTCCCCTTCATATTCTTTTTTATCAACATTATAAACATCAACATCAGCAGTTAATTTGCTTCTTATGATATCAATTGTTTTTTTAGACAGAGTTGTAATGCTATTTGTGTCTTTAAGATCTTTTCGTAAACGCTTGACCCAATCACCAGAATTTTCAGGCACTAATTCATCAATTAACAATTTTCCGTCAATCGCATAGATTATTTTATCATCCGATCGAATTATGTATGGTTCTTGAATTTGAGTATTATTTCTTTTAAAAATGGAATAATATTTAGTGAAAATACTAACTGGAGAAGTCCATGTGTAGTAATAGAAAAGAAGGATGGAACAAAGAAAATTGCGATCGACTATAGAATATTAAAC